GGAAGGCCGCTATTAGGCCTCCCCGGAGCCTCCTCTTCTTCAGGCTGAACAACCCCAGCTCCCTCAGCCTGTCCTCGTAGCAGAGGTGCTCCATCCCCCTGAAGCCTTGGGTGGGAAGAGTTGGATGCAATGAAGTTGGGAAGAGGCCCCATTGCTCTTGGCGGATGAAAAGCAAAGCTCTTGTTTGTTTCTTTGCTCAGTGATGGCCCCCACGCAGTTTGCCGTGGCTCCAGGCTTGGAAAGGAGGTACCTAATGGCTTGTCCCTGCAATATGTCACATTGATGGTCCCTCAGTCACTCCCAAACAAGTTTTATACACAATTTTGTTTGCCTTCAGGGTAGCTGCTTAGCACCTGGTCGCTTGGGCGTATAATTGCGTCGAGAAGGGGCTGCCACACTAAATAATTCACTTGGTACTTAGAGTTCTTAGCTTTCACTAACTTTTAGGACTTCTTTTTAGGCTTGGACTTTTCCCTCCTTCACAGCTTTATGTGTCTGGTTGAGGGTGCTCAGGAAAGCAAATTATTTGGAAATGAGATGTTCATAAGTCTTCATTGCTGTTGGTGTGGCTGCAGGAGGGATGTTTGCACAGGTGGTTTTCTGCCGTGGTCCAGCTCTGCCATAGTTTTATTCCTCTCTCTTACTGGAGCCCTAGTGAGGCAGCGTGATGGTCATGGTCTTCCCAGCCTGGTCTCCAAGGTGCGAGACCACCATCGATGGTGATTTCTCCTTTGCTGCCTGAAATGTCACCATAAGGGACATCGGTTAGAGGGCAAGGTGAAAAGGAACTGGGAAAATGCATTCCTGGTCGTTGTGAATGCAGCAGGTCAGGGGTGTTCAGTGGAAAAAACCTGATGTGGGAGGTACCTGCAAGGTTTGACCTGGCCATAAACTGTCCTCCACGTACATCTCACGGGCAACAGCCTGAAAAATGTCTAACCTGTCCTTCAGGAGAAGGTGGATGTTAGAAGATGGGTTTTGATACTGAACTGCATGTAGCATAGAATCATAGAATGGTTTGGGTTGGAAGGGACCTCAAAGATGATCGAGTTCCAACCCCCCTGCCATGGGCAGGGACACCTCCCACCAGACCAGGTTGCTCCAAGCAGATCTGATGGGCTTCATAAATATATACATTTTTGCTCCATTGCTGATGGAGCAAAGAATGGTGGTTCCCTTTTGTGCCTTGAACTTAAACCTGCCTCAGTTTCCCCAGTAGGAAGCTGGGCAGACCTTGCTTGGGGATAACGCCATCACCTCTGGAGTCTCCGGAGACGTGGATTTGATTCCTTTAGAGTCTTTCTAACCTGGCGAGACGTTTATCGACAGGTTCTGTGCTGTTGTTTAAAAATGTCTCGCTTCCCCTTTCCCTTTTGGCAGCTCTTCCAACCCCACGCAGCCTCTCAGGAAAGTTTGTAAATGCTTTTAATTGACTGAGAGCAGTTTGTGCAACGCTCAGATCCCCGGGCACGGGCCACTGGTTGATGAGGTTTTATTCCTGTTCCAATTCCTTGCTCCGGCGGTGGCTTTTCCCTTTCAAAAAAAAACACCAAAAAACCCCTGTTTTATTAGAATAATAATTAACGCCTTGTAAATTTTGGAGTGGACTGAGCCGTGTCGATGGGCTTTCTGAGCCAAGCAGCTTTATCCTTGCTGAAAAATGAATGTTTGTGCCATAAATGTAGAGAAGAGCCCAAAGCATCGCCTGCTTCTGGGGTTCCCCCCTGCCCACACCCCTGGGGACATTCTAGTCTTTGGGGTCCCCTCAAGGGTCATAGAATCATAGAATGATAGAATTGCCCAGGCCGGAAGGGACCTCCAAAGGCCATCTAGTCTGACCTCCCCGCAGTCAGCAGGGACACCCCCAACTAGACCAGGTTGCCCAGGGCCTCATCGAGCCTCTCCTTGAATATCTCCAGGGATGGGGCCTCAACCACCTCCCTGGGCAACCTGTTCCAGTGCTCCACCACCCTCACAGTGAAGAACCCTCTCCTCATCTCCAGTCTAAAGCTGTTCCCCTCCAGCTTGAAGCCATTGCCCCTCGTCCTGTCACTGCAGGCCTTTCTAAACAGGTTCTCCCCAGCCTTCCTGTAGGCCCCCTTCAGGTACTGGAAGGCCGCTATTAGGCCTCCCCGGAGCCTCCTCTTCTTCAGGCTGAACAACCCCAGCTCCCTCAGCCTGTCCTCGTAGCAGAGGTGCTCCATCCCCCTGATCATCCTCATGGCCCTCCTCTGGACCCTCTCCATCAGGTCCATGTCCTTCTATTGAGGGCTCCAGACCTCCACACACAATACTCCAGGTGAGGTCTCACCAGAGCAGAGTAAAGTGGCAGAATCACCTCTCTGGACCTGCTGGCAACGCATCTTTTGATGCAGCCCAGGATGGGATTGGTCACCTCTTTTCTTCATTCCAGGCTTTCTAAGAAAGGGAATATCCTGGTCCCCTTCCCATTTTGAGAGATGCCTTGTGATGGTGAGAAATGATGTAATTACGAGGAATTTCCCCTCCTTGTAGTGGGAAAACGCATGAGGATGTGCTGTCAGCTCCTCCCTGAAGAAAAGTGGACCCAAAGCCATCAAAAAAAGCCACAGAAACCATGAAATAAAAGCAACTCCCCCAAACTATCAAATGCTCCTGCGTTTTAGATAAGAAATAAACCCAAGAGGGCTTAAAAATCCCAGGTGCCGGATGGGAGATGCTGCTCTAACACCCAGCAACGGGTTCTGAAACATCATCCCCTGCTTCAAACCCCAACACTTGGATCATCTTCTTCCCAAAGGTCTTGCTGCCTCTGCTTCTGGCTTCCAGAAACACGTATCCTGATTCCTGATGGGATTCCCATCTCCTTGTTTAACGATCCTGGGCGTTAATTTCTACCGTGACATTTTTGCTCGGTCTTGCAGGAAAGGGGCAAATTTGGATTGATCAACGTGTTGGGTGATGCCTTGTAAAAATATAGGGTTAGGGTACACAATCCCGACAATTTGTTGGAAAATTGCCTTTTTTTTTTTCTTCCTCCCCTTTTTTTTCCCCAGCAGAAATGAATTCAGCCCAATCAGGGCATTGGATTAGTGAAGCTTGACCTGCTAAATTGAATCAGACAGTTATACAGCATCAGATGTTCACTGCATTGACCTTTTTAATGAGAAATAGGTCTATTAGATCTGTTTTACTCTCAGTAAAATATTTTATGAAGCTGAGTGGGGCTTTCCATCATTTAGGTCCATACTGAGCTCGAGAAGGGTAGGTTACGACGTGACCAAGTAAAATTAGCTCTTTGATGGCTTGTCCAGGTGGAACGTGTCTAATTTGTTAACTTGCTGACCCCTTTTTTCCCTGTGCCAAAAGCCTCAAAAAAAAAAAAGAGATTAAAAAAAAAAAAGAAATAAAAAAAGAGCAGACACCAGGGAGCAGCCTTTACGAGGGGGAAGGAAAAGGCAAAGGCCTCGGGCAGAAGCTGCTCTGGCAAATCTCCAGCAGCCTGCACCCCGCCAAAAATGAAAATAAAAAGGCAAAGCCCTCCACTTTTGCAGAGTTTTGGGATTTTGGGGGGTTTTTTTTTGAGAGGGGAAGCCCTTTCTGCTGGAGGTGCCTGATGAGGGGAAGCCCTTTCTGCTGGAGGTGCCTGACGCCGGAGCAGCAGCTGGGCCATATCGGATGTTTCCATCCTTCCTTCTCCCCCTCCTCGTTTGATCTGAATATTTTAACCAGCCCAAGCTAAGTAATTGCTTTGAATTATTTTTAGCCAAGGTGCAAATGAATTCGCGTGTGTCTTCTCGGAGGTTTGAAGAGCTGAATGCAGAAGGTATCACGCACAAGCTAAGCTCCATAAACCCAACTTTCTCCAAAAGCTGTTGAGATGTTGGGCTATTTTAGAGGAACCTATGGGGATTCACTGATTTTTCCTCCACAGATTTTATGGCAAAAGGAGAGCAGAGACAGGTACTGACCTGCTTTATGCTCTGTTTCTTGGCCTCACGGTGTCCTCGAGGTCAGATATCTGTGTAGTGACACTTCATCGTCCATCAGACACTTTGCTTAAAATTAAAGGTGCTTCAAATCTGAGTCAACTGGCCTAATACAGGCATTTTTCCTTAGTTCAGGTACACTGTGATAACCTCCTTAGCTGCCCAGGGATGTCCCCTCTAAATCCCAAGTCACGTCTGCCGGCTCTTGTGGACGTCTCAGATGATGGGAGGTCACCTGAGAAGCCAGCAGATGCTCACCACAAAACAGCTGACTCCCATCCATGCATGAGTATCCATGAAATGAGGGACTTAGGGGCAATATCTGTTTATAAAAAGCTCTGTTTACCCAGACTTGCTCTTGACATTGATCGTTCGGTGTCTTCGGGAAAGACAGTTGATGCCGTAAGGTTAATTTTTATCTTTGTTTTTACGCTGCAGTCAAGTAAAACCCTACACAAGTGGCATGTTCGCGGTAAGATTCGGTGAGACCTTGTCTCTATCAAGATGCAGTTTCCTCTTTGTTCCCTAAACCAGTTAATAGCTGTTTATTTTATAAAAACGGTCAGGTATAGACTTTTCCAATAATTTGACAGACATCCCCGGATGGGGACACGGTCCCTAGATCTTTTGTGACAAACAGAAGAAATTACCGTTTTATAGAAAGCGAATAGTCAATATTTCATTTCATAGTTGCCATGTACAATTTTCCCCCTTATTTGGAGAAGATTAAAGGAGAAAACTCAATTCATTATTACATTTTAAAATATGCATTGGATTTTTCCAGATTGTTATTTTAGGCCGGCTCTTCCAATGCCTTTTCTTGGCAAGAATAGGGTCAGTGATTTTTTTTCCTTGTTTTTTTTTTTCTGTGTGAGTGTGAAAGATTAAAGACTCATTTAAGCCATTACATGGAAAACATGTGTTCTTGCTGATTCACACCGGGGCTCCTGTTAAGAGTGTCATCTGCTGAAATGCTGTCTCTGTTTTCGACACGTCGGGCATCAAATATCTGTTGTTGCTTTCCAGGTGCAGTGGCCAACGCGCCGGGATCTGAAGAAAGAACTCAGGCACGTTCTCCATGGAGATGGGAGGACTTCCCAGTGCTTGAAGGAAGTAAAAAAGAAGCAAACCCCCCCAAAAGCTTGAAGGAAGCAAAAGGTGGTCATGAAGACAGAGGTCCTCCTTGGAGGAAAATTGTGGCTTTTGACCAATTCTGCTCAGAAACGTCCCCATCCACGATGGCTGTGCCTCTTCTCAGACCTTGTTGACTTTATCATCCCAGGAGAAGTGTCTCGGGCCACCCAGCTGAGAAGGTAAGGTGAGGGAGCCATCCTGTGCTGTTTGCTGATCCAGTGGGGCACTGCTAGACCTTTGACCATCTGCGTCTTTGTGCCTGCACGTGGGTTTCTAGCCCACCCATCTCCAAGAGTTAGTAGCCTAAACCAAAAAAGAATATTAAAAAAAAAAAAAGGAATTTAGAGGGACAGAAATGATAAAGCAGCACCTAAATCCATCTCTGTACGCTTTTGCAATAACATCACGAAATAAGAAGCATTAGAAATGCCCTGCGCCTTGCAATTCTGGTTTGTGTAGACATCAGCTTGGAGATGGATGTGCTTGATCCACCTGCCAATTCTTCCTTTATCTCTTAACATGAAGGTGAGGGGTGTTTGTAGATGGTGAGAGCTGGGTCTGCTCAGTCCTCACGTCCCCCAAGGAATGTAGGAGGTGACTGTGCTGTGTGTAGGGTCACGTAGGGGTGGTGGGAGCTGGGAATGAGCTCCATCCCCTCCTGCTTGGCTGTGACCTGAATGTAGAGAGGAAAAAAGGCAGTCTGCTGAACCCGTGTTCATCTGTATGAATCACACCCAACGAACAACAACTTATCCCCGTCCGATCTGCTAATACATATTTATTCTGTTAACAAGTAATTCATTCCCCGGCAGAAAGCTCGGGAGCTGATTTATGTCGCGGTCAAATCAAGTCTGAAAAAAGCCCCTACGTTTCCCTCGATAAATCACGCCGCTTTTGGGTTTTGCTGGGGGCTGTAGAGAAAATGGGAGTTGAGAAAACAGGGCGGCTTTGTGACCGGCCGTAATTAATAACCGTTAATGAACAGCATGAGCAATGCTCTGTTATTGTTAAGATTATTAATAATGCTGATCGTTATTTCGGTATGACGACGGCGATCGTTCGTAATAATAATGAAGGGTAGGTACCTTGGGGTGCCCCCTGTCACCCCGAGGAGGTGGTGGTTGGATGTGACACCCATCATGGTTGGATGGGTGTCACAAAAAGTCCACGTCCCCCTGTGCAAGATGCTTTTACTCCAAATTGGTGGGGGGTGTCAGAATAAACGTGTACGTGGGTGGAGACTCCTCATCAGCGTCGCCCCCGGAGAAGTAAAATCAGTGTAAGCCATTCCCAGAGTTACCTAAAACAACCATTTTGTTTATATTGGACAAATTCACACCCCAGGGAACAAACTCCAAATATTCCGTGGACTGAAATACTCATAATTTGCCGTATTTTAATATCAGCGATTTTTTTTCCTTCTTATTAAATTAATTCAGAAGGTTACGTTTCTCCTGTAACTTCTGCATCTCTTCTGCCTCTGTACAAGGTAAAATTACTCCAGCTCGAATTTTTGGCATTTTCAAGAACAGGGAATGAAATGGGCGTGGATTTCCTGGGAGGACGAAGCATTTTCAACCTTAAAAAGGTTTAAACTCCCTTGATTAAGTTTCCCTGAGAGGTTTAAGCGAGCGTGTCCGCATTCAGATTCGTGTTAATCTACAGCTTTTCATAGACATCATGTTTTTAAAGCTCTAAATCCACGAAAGGTTTTTTTGGTTGGGTTTTTTCTTTGAGCCTCCTGCCTTGCCGTGGCTGCCCGGTGACAGCGCTGAATTTAATGTGTGGATGATAAATTCAACCCAACGCGCCGTAAATAGTCGCTAAATATTCAGCAGGAGCCTCGGCTGCCTCCTTGCACCGAGGCCCAAGACAAGCTCAGATGGTGACATTTTCCTCCCTAATCCCTTTACTTCTCTTCCCATGCAAGAGATTTTTCAAAGAATGCTAAATGTCACCCAAGGCCCCTCAAGCTTGCAAAAAACTCTTTAGAAGTTGGGGTTTTTGTTTTTTTCAAAGGAGGCATAGCCTGCAGTGCCACCACCCTCAGGAGAAGAACCTGGGTTTGGTGGCATCTCTTCCAGAGGGACCTGAAGGTTGCAAGCATGCCTTGAAGGCCAGATGGTGCTCGGCTGAGGATGGGGGCTTCTCCCCAAAGCTGTGTGAGATTATGGCATAATTAATAAAATACAGCCACTTCAGGCAAATGTGTGAACTAGGCTGAAGCTAATGAAGCTAATTGCTTCTGCGTCTTGCGGGTTCGTTAGTGCTAGCCTGAGTGTGAACTTTGAGGGAATGGCATCACGTGGAAGGGGAAAGGAGGAAGATCTGGTAACGTTGTATCTGGGCGCATCTCTTCCAGAGGGACCTGAAGGTTGCAAGCATGCCTTGAAGGCCAGATGGTGCTCGGCTGAGGATGGGGGCTTCTCCCCAAAGCTGTGTGAGATTATGGCATAATTAATAAAATACAGCCACTTCAGGCAAATGTGTGAACTAGGCTGAAGCTAATGAAGCTAATTGCTTCTGCGTCTTGCGGGTTCGTTAGTGCCAGCCTGAGTGTGAACTTTGAGGGAATGGCATCACGTGGAAGGGGAAAGGAGGAAGATCTGGTAATGTTGTATCTGGGCTTTGTCAGGAGGATGGGGCAGTCTTTTTTTGGTGGTGCCCAGGGACAGAAAAGGGGGTAAAAGGCACAAATTTGACCATAAGAAGGTCCATCTCAACATGAGGAGGAACTTCTTCATGTTGAGGGTGGCAGAGCCCTGGCAGAGGCTGCCCAGAGAGGTGGTGGAGTCTCCTTCTCTGGAGACATTCCAACCCCACCTGGACACATTCCTGTGGGACCTGCTCTGGGTGGCCCTGCTTTGGCAGGGGGTGGGACTAGATGATCTCCAGAGGTCCCTTCCAATCCCATATCATTCTGGGATTCTGTGACTTGTTTAAGGTTGTTGTGCTGTGATCTCCAGAGGTCCCTTCCAATCCCATATCTTTCTATGATTCTGTGACTTGTTTAAGGTTCTTGTTCTTGAAGCTGATATGTATTTTTAGCCAGATATCTCAATTTTCTAGTGTGGAGGTGGTCTTTGTGTCCCAGTTCCCCTCTGCAAGGTGAGGCAGCAGTACTGGTTTACCTGCTAAAACTGGTGTTAAAAATGTAGCCCTCCAAGATGGGGACCAGAGAGATTTCTGTGGGATTGAACGCCACAGCAGTGCCCGTGGCCCCAGCAGCTCTGGCCAGCACGGGTCCCCTACCCCAGCCAAAAATTAGTGTTTAATTAATGGGGGCTTGAGAGCTGTGTCTAACAGGAGATGCTACATCTGTGCAACACTGGTTTTGAGGTGGGGAATGGGTTTGAAGAGGGAAAACGTTCTAAGTGCAGAAGTTAGTAGAAGTAAAGAACAATCTTTCCATTCTTGTAAATGTTGAACTTTTGAACGTTTTCCTGAGGTGAGTACAGAAAGAAGCTGAGTTTCGTGTGAACTGGCAATTTAAGCCAAAGATGACATCGGTCTGTGTTATTCGGGCTGTTTCCCTTCAGTCAGTTTGAAAAACATTTTTACAACGATATAATCAGCCTAAATTGAAAACCAGTATTTCATTTTAAGGATATTGTAAAAATAGTTTTTCACCTTTTCAAAGTTAGTTTTTTTTTTTCACCAGGAACTTGCTAAAAACAGATCTTTGCAAAGGCTAATTTTGGTTTTGATGAGCAAGAGTCTTTAGACCAGATGAATTTTGCTGGAGGATGTCTAGCTCTATCCTCCGTGTCCTGGCAGAAGAACCACCTTGTCTCATGTCTCCTGGTGGGGTGGGTTGAGGAGATGGGCTTAGCTTGGAACCCGCTTTCATGCTTAGGGATTGCTCCACAGTCCAAAAAACTGTGGCTGCCCCATCCCTGGAGGGGTTCAGGGCCAGGTTGGATGGGGCTTTGAGCCACCTGGTGTGGTTGGAGGCCACCTGGTCCATGGCAGGGGGGTGGGACTGGATGCTCTTTAAGGTCCCTTCCAACCCAAACCATTCTATGATTCCTCCAGTACGAACCAAAGTCAAACATTGTGCAAAATGTTTTATTCCCCCCTGAGTAAACACCAGTTTATTATGCACAGGAAGAGATCGCTGCATATATAAAGAGAAGAATTTTTTTTTATTGCTTTTTTTTAGGTTCATCCCATGCAAGTCTCAGTTTGTTAATTGTTTCTACACGGAGGAGGTTTATTGACCATATTTCTCCATGTTTCTTAATTGTGAGCACAGCTGAACGTACTGAGCATAACATTTCAACTGCCTTATATGAGTTCATAACATTTTGCAATAACCCTTGCAATATTTGTTTAGATGAACACTTGAAGGACATCTGTCGGTGCCGGAAACAATGATGCAGGTTTTTTTTGCTTTTGTTGTTTGGGGTTTTTTTTTCTTTTAATTGCTATTTTGTCAGAGGAATAGGCACGCTGCTGTCACTTGAGATGAAAACCCTGCTTAAATGCCGACAAAATCTGCTCTGCGTTACCCCCGTCCCTCCTTTCCCTCTCTAATTGGCAGAGATGCAACAACGACTTGAAGGTAGAGTCTGTTAATGCATATTTTGGAAATTGAGATGGGTATCTTGCGAAGCCATATGCACGGCTCTCCGGGGGGTTTATTTAGGCAGTTAGTATTTGTGTTGATAATAGCACCGTGAGTTCTGTTTGATGTCAGGTTTGAGAATAGGCCGTGAATAAGGGATGGTGTTTGAGGGAGGAACATGCTTCATGTGCTATGATTCCATGAACACGGAGCTGTGTGATGGGCAACTAAAACACAGGACTCAGATGCTCCACATCTACAGAATCACAGAATGATATGGGGTTGGAAGGGACCTCTGGAGATCATCTAGGCCAACCCCCTCCCAAAGCAGGGCCACCCACAGCAGGTCCCACAGGAACGTGTCCAGGTGGGGTTGGAATGTCTCCAGAGAAGGAGACTCCACCACCTCTCTGGGCAGCCTCTGCCAGGGCTCTGCCACCCTCACAGGAAAGAAGTTCCTCTTCATGTTGAGATGGAACTTCCCATGTTCCAGTTTGTGCCCATTTCCTCTTGTCCTGTCCCTGGGCACCACTGAAAAAAGCCTGGCCCCATCCTCCTGACACCCACCCTTCAAGTATTTATAGGCCTTGATCAGATCCCCCCTCAGCCTTC